TCCATCCCAGAATCAACTGAAAGGAAAGTGACCATGACACTGTGCGTGACCAAGAGATCTTTATTGTGGTGTTGTCTTGATTAACAGGGAAGGGAGAGAAAAGAGAGAAAGAGAGCAGGGAAAGAGAGAGAAGAGCGAGAGAGCAAAGCAAGGCGGGGTGGCATCAGCACACGCGCAAAGCCAGAGGGTTTTTTTTTCTAATTTTTTCTTAGTTGAAGATGGACGTAACACCTTTGTTTATTTTTATGTGGTGCTGAGGATCAAACCCTGTGCCTCACATGTGCGAGGCAAGCGCTCTGCCACTGAGCCAACCCCAGCCCCAAGAGAGAGAGTTGTTTTTTTTTTTTTTTTAAGAGACAGAATTTTTTTTTTTAATATTTATTTTTTAGTTTTCGGCCGCCCGCCTGCCAGGCGAGCGTGCTACCGCTTGAGCCACATCCCCAGCCCGAGAGAGAGTTTTTATAGCCAAAATCTAATGGGGTCTCTGGGTCTGCAAGCTGCCTTGTTGGCATACAGTGATTGGATCACACAGTAGTTGCTAAGGGTGTCATCTTCTGCCCTCAGGCAGACCGGAAAGGGGCTAGTTTCCCTGGCACCAGACAGGTGGGGGGTCAGGTGTTCAGCCCACCCTGCAGCTAACATCAACAAAAATTAAAAAAAAAAAAGAAGAAGAAGAAGAAGACCTGTCCCCATGAACAGTTACCCTCAGCCCCTCCCAGCCCCAGGCACCCATGAATCCGCACCCTGTCTCTGGACTTGCCTGGACATTCCTGTGTGACCTTGTATGTCTGGCCTCGTTCATGTCACGGCTGGACTGTGTTCTTCTGTGACCCGCCACACACTTACCCTTCATCTCTTGGTGGACCCTGCCTGCCAGCTGTGTGATGCTGCGTAAGGTTCTACGTGGGTCCATGTGCGCCTGCTCTGGGTGTCCACCTGGTGTGCGGCTGCTGTGTCCTACAGGGACTCTGATCTCTGTTTAARGGCATGCTGGACTGTCTTCCAAATGGCCCTGCGATCTTCTGTTCCCGCTGCCCCTGGTGTGGATCTGTAATGCCATAGACCTCCAGGAGCYGAATCCGATGCAATCACACAAGAGTCTTTATTGCAAGCTCGAGTCTGGACTCACAACCGTTCCCGACACATCGGTCCCAGGGAGTGAGCCCCAACCCTTAGTTCAGTGAGGATTTATAGGTTTTKGGGGGGATACTCTGTGCRTCACAACATCATACRGCAAATCATTTCACACTGCGGGAAAATCAAGTCTTCACGTAGATTAGCATATTCACTGTCGGGAACCAGTCRGATAGGGGTGATTGATTAGTTCAAGTGGTGGATACGTGTGAACTGATGGGTTTGGGCTGGGGGGGGCTGTTTGCATGAGTATCTGTGCTCAACTGCAGGGTGGCCTAATGTTATCAATCACCGAAACTAGGCCTCAAGCCTTCTTGGTTGTAGTTGGACATAACACCCTTATTTTTATGTGGTGCGGAGGATGGAACCCAGGGCCTTGCACTTGCTAGGCGAGCGAGCGAGCGAGCGAGCGAGCGAGCGAGCGAGCGAGCGCTCTACCGCTGAGCCACCACCCCAGTCCTCCAGCATTCTTTTGGTCTTTTCAGGAACTTGCATTTGCTAAGTCCAGGACATATGACAAATGACTCAGCAGGGTGGCCATGTGCCTAGGAACGCTGGGTCATTCCCCCCCCCCACCTGAGGACAGGCCCTCCTCTGAGGTAGCCGCTGTTTTTTTTTTAAAAATGGAGTCACATCAGTTCCAGGCCTGATTTCTGGCCTTGTCTTTGCCAGAGAGGGCAGGGGTGTGAAGCACCAGGATGTGAGCCCAGGTCACTGTCATCCGTGTGGTGGGCCCTGCCAGCCTCTTGGGGCCCTGTGGCCCACAAGCTCCTGGGGAACCCACCTCCGTTCCCAGTCCTGCTTCCTTGCCTCCTGGTGTCCTGTAGGCCAGCAGGAGGACTCCTCAGGTGCCCCATTTCACACACTCCTGGCCCTCATCTGCTGCCACCCCACCCCCACCCTCCCTTGCCCTGCTCCACTCTGCATCTGCCCACACAGGACTCCTTTCCTCCCGGAACCCTGCCCTGCACAGGCTTGGAGCTCCTTCCTGGGAGCTGAGGCCTGCTCCCTGGCATCTCCCTCAGGGTCCATAGGAGCCCCACATTCATCACACCATGCCCCTTTCCCATGCCACGCCCATTTCCCATCTGTCCCTACACCTGTCCCCCAGGTCTGCCACCTGTCAGGGCAGCTTTGTCCTCCCCATCTCTCTCCCTCTCTCAAATCTCACTGCTCCATCCATCTGCAAACCCTGTGGGCTCTGAGGAACGTTCCCCTTGCTGATCCAAGTAGGAGCCACCCCTACCAATGGCCAGGATGCCTCCCTGCTCTCTGCTCCTGCCCTGGCTCCCACAGATCTGTTACCAGCACAGTAGCTCCAGACACGGCACGCTGAAAAGAAAACCCGAGCTGTCCTTCCACCCCGAAGGGCGCGCAGCACCTGCCCCACCTGAGCAGGACCTCCTCTACCCCTCCTTGCACAGGCCTCCAGGCTGCCAGGCAGACAGGTCCAGCCTCAGGGCCTTTGCCCATATTGTTCTCTGGCCTGACACACCCTCCTCCAGACACCTGGGCTCCCTCCCACCTTCCAGTGCTGGAATCTGCCCTCCACTGTTCTTTGGCCAGTGCTCCAGGCAGCCCCTTCCCTAGTTCCCTGAGCCTTCTCCACTTCCTCCCCACCMAGGGCCCCCAAAAGGCTTCAGCATTTAAACAGCACACGCATGGCTCTTCCCTGGGCTCTACCTGCAACACAAGGGGCGCAAGGCCCATTTTGTTCCCTGCCCCTGTGGCTGCTCAGCAAAGGACCTGAGAGGTCACTGACAGCCTCAAGGTGGAGGACACAGGAAGAGCGGGGTGTGCAGCCCTCCTTCACCACTGGGGTGGGTACAGGGTGTGTAAAGATGCAAACAAAACTGAGTTAAAACCTGAGTAAACCTCCACCTTCACTCGCTGTGTTAGTTTTCTATCATTGTGACAAAAACCCTGAGAAAAATAGCTTTGTGGAGGAAAGATTTATTTTGGCTTGTTCTCAGAGGCTTCATTGCATGTTTGGATGGCTCCAAAGCAGAAACATCATGGTGGAAGGGTATGGCAGAGGAAAGCTGCTCATCTCATGGCAGCAGAGAGCAGACAGGGCCAGGGACAAGATACACCCTTCCAGCCAGGCGTGGTGATGCATGCCTGTAATCTCAGTGACTTGGGAGGCTGAGGCAGGAAAACTGAAAATTCAAAGCCAGCCTCAGCAATTTAACAAGAACCTAAGCAACAAGACCCTGTCTCAAAAAAGTGCTAGGGTTGTGGCTCAGTGGTAAAGCACTCCTCGGTTAAATCTCTATTGCCCCCCAGAATTATTATTTAAATATATATATTTAAATATGTGTGTATATATACATATGCGTATGTTAAGTGTGCACTTACGGGTGCCCTTCCAAAACACATCCTGGTGACCTATTTTTCCTCCAACTAGGTTCCACCACCTCCAACATTCCATTCAGTTATAAATCCCTCCATGGATTAATCTGGTGAAGCCAAAGCCTGCATGATCCGACTCTGACCACTTGCCAAAGCCTCACCTCTGGACATGCGCACTGGGACCTCAGCTTCTGGGAGACTTTGCAGCTTGCTATGTGGAACACCGCCACTCCCCCTGTTGGCMGCTCACCACGGCCGAGGTGGCCTAGGTGGTTTGCAGGAACTTAGAGGTCGTTTAAACTTGTTGGAACCAGGGCTCCTTCCTGTGGGTCTGTGCAGGTATATGACCTTCACCTTTTGACATCACCTCCGCTCCAGTGGAGCGTACTAATCCCACCACTGTCTGAAGGGCTTCCTCGGAGGAGCCGAGGGTTTATTTTCCAGTGTCTTATTGTGGTGCTGGGGATGCAGCTCGGGGCCTGGAGCCCTCAGCTAGGAAGGGCTCTTAGGCCGAGCCACATCCCCAGGCGAGCYGTGAAGCCTCATGACCAGCAGAGACCCCCCTCGACTTCACCTTTCCTTCCTCCCGGCTGCTCGGTGCCCCCGGCCACCCTGTGTCCAGAGCCCTAGCCCCAGCTTTGGGGAGGTGGCTTTGACTGGGGGCTCCGGCCTGTGGATGGCCGGCGAATGGACCCTTTCGCAAAACCCGTGCTTTCAGTGGTTGGCGCGGCGCCGCGGGGAAACGTGCCTTCGGAGCATGGAGGACGGGCCGAGGGGGCCCGGGCTGGGCTAGGCGCGGGCTCCAGGACGGCCGAGCGGGAGTACTTCACCAGCCCCTGGGGCGACCCCGGGCCCTTCTCGGGGTGCTCAGTTCACCCCTAGGACAGGGACATCCTATTACTAACATGGCACAAAGAGGGAAACAGTGGGGACGTGGATGTCGCACGAGCCCAACGAGGAGACCAAGTGCAGTGGGGTGCCCGGATCCCTGGGGGCGCCTCCCCGAGCCCAACGAGGAGACCAAGTGCGTGGGGTGCCCGGATCCCTGCTCCGGCCTCGGCTTTCGGCCCGCTCCCGGGATTCTTCTTTCTGGCCACACCCCAGCCCTCCTCGGCATTTTATTTAGAGTCAGAGTCTCACTGAGCTGCTCGGGGCCTCGCTGAGGCTGAGGCTGGCTTTGACCTCTGGAGCCTCTGGCCGCAGCCTCCCGAGCAGCTAGGATTTGGGGAAGAGCGCCACCGCGCCCGCCCCGCTCCCCGGGGACTCTCAACCGCCGCCCCGGGGCAGGAGTGGAGCGGAAACTCGCACTCCCCGGAGGCCTGGCGGCCAAAGCCGCAGAACTCCGGAGGCGGGTCTCGGCGCAGCCAGCCACCGCCCTCGGAGGGCTCGGGCTGCCCTGAGCGCTGCCGGTCGCGCAGGTCTTTTCGTTCAGGCGTTCGCCGACGACAGACCCGCGCGGGGACCGGCGGTGGGGCCTGCGGGGCGCTGGGCGCCGGCGGAGTTCGCGTGGGTCCTGCTGGGCGCCTGCGCGGTGGGCTGGCCTGCGCGCGGCGGCGCCATGGACGACGAGGAAGAGACCTACCGGCTCTGGAAGATCCGGAAGACCATCATGCAGGCAAGCAGCGCGAGGACGCCCGGTCCTGCCCGCGTGCCCGCCGCTCCCCCGCCGTGGCGGCGCCCGCCCCCGTCCCTCGGAGGCCCGCCTGGGGTGCCCGGAGGAGGACCGGGCGCGCGGGGACCGGAGCGGGCGCCGCCGGCGGAGTCCAGGCCGCGCTCCCCGCGTGGGTCCCTCGGCGCCTGCGTGTTTTGCGGTCCCGGGCCTGAGCTCGGGCCGCACCGCCCGCGCCCCTGCCGTGGTTTCTCCGGCACCGGGCACCGTCGCGGCGGGAGCCGAGGCCAGGCCGGGAGGAGGGCGCGGCTGGGTTGGCCTGCGCGGACTCTGGTTTGGAAAGCAGGTGAAGGCATCTGGCGTTCGCCTCCGGGTCGGGGAGTGCTGGCCCAGCGTGCACGCGAAAGGAGGGAGTCGGGGCGGGCGCGGGAGTGCCGGCAGGACGAGCCAGAGCCCGCCATCCTGGGCCCTGCCATTCCGGGTGAAGCCCCCTGCAGCCTTCTGCCCTGTCAGCACGGTCGCAGGAAGCCGCACCTGTCGCCTCCCTGCCTCACGTGGCTTTGCAGAGGGGTCAGGAGGACTGGCTGCAACTGCTTGGGTTGGTTCCCAGCCAGATTCCTGCCAGACTGGGTTAAGGGGGTCAAGGCTGGAGGTCTCTGGGAGCCTCTGGGACTGCTCTGGTGCCATCACAGGGGGTCGCAGTGGCTAGTTATGTGGCACCCTCTAAATGCTCAGCCAGTTTGGGATTACTACTACCCCTGTGCCACCGCCACATTCAGCTGTGTTTGTCCACTCAGGTCATGAGCTCTTGTTTGCTAAGATGCTTGGGCAGGGTCATCACTTGGCTCTTTCTCCTAGCAGCTGTGCCATGACCGTGGCTACCTGGTGACCCAGGATGAGCTGGACCAGACATTGGAGGAGTTCAAAGCCCAGTTTGGGGATAAGCCGAGTGAAGGACGGCCGCGCCGCACAGACCTCACCGTGCTGGTGGCACACAATGATGACCCCACTGATCAGATGTTCGTCTTTTTCCCAGGTGGGGGCCTGTGCTGGTCCATGGCAAGTGTCCCCAAGGGGGTATGGTTCTGATGTAGTCACCTAGACACCACCTCAGGCACTGGTTCATAGCACCCTCTAAGTCCTTGTGGTTCCCGTCCCCCCCCCCTTCCCCATCTCTTTCTGAACTGTGTTCTCAACCCTTGAGGCCCCCAGCCTCCCATGACATCAGCTCTGCATGTGTCTTCCCCCTTCCCCACCTGGAGGGAAAGTACAGGCCCAACTCAGCCAGGCAGACAGGCCTCGTCCCTGGAGCCCATGTGCCACTTCCCTTTGTCCCACCCAGGTGCTGCAGGGCTCCTGCCCTGCCCTCCTTCCCCTAGGACCCTTCCCTTAATGCTTTTTAAAAATTTTTTATGGTACTGGACCCAGGAGTGCTTAACCACTGACCTTTATCCTCAGGCTTTTTTTTTTTCCTCCTCTGGTGACAGGATCTCACTAAGTTACCTAGGCTTCCCTGGAACTTGTGTTCCTCTAGCCTTAGTCTCCTGAGTAGCTGGATGCTGGGTATGTCCTTCTGCCCAGCAGGGTGCCTCACAAGGCTCTCCTGTGTGAGTTTTAATCTCTTCCTAAGTGTGACTCAATACCCACTCTGATTACCTCACTGTATCCTAACCGCTTCTTTAAAAATGTTGATTCCAAGTACGGTTACAACTTTGAGGTTCTGGGGCTGGGGCTTCAGCATATGAAGGGGCACAGTCCAGTCCTATTGCTGCCATCAGTGGGTCAGGTGAGAGCAGAGGCTGTGGCTGGACAAAACATGGACAACCCTACGTCCCTGTGCCGATTGGCCCCTGGGCTCCTGGGCCTCCCAGTACTCAGGTGGCAGGCCTGTGCCCTGTCAGCAGACTCTCACCATGTGAACACCCAGCTTCTATCTCTTGGGCTCCCAGAACCAAACGTCAGGAAGGGACCTGCCAGGTCCAGTGGGACTTGATGCCCTGGTGGTGTTGAGGCAGCCAGCCCCCGCCCTGGATCCTGCAGTTCAGGTCTTGCCTTGCAAGTAGGGACCTTGAGGCCCCAAAAGGAGCAGCGACTGGACTGAAGCCGGCTAGTCGGCGTACCCTAGGCGGTGAGGGCAGGCTCCCAGCAGTGTGCCCTTGCACATCTGTTTCAGAGGAGCCCAAGGTGGGGATCAAGACCATTAAGGTTTACTGCCAGCGCATGCAAGAGGAGAACATCACCCGGGCCCTCATCGTGGTGCAGCAGGGCATGACACCCTCTGCCAAGCAGGTAGGCGYCCCACCTTTGTACCACCCAGGGGCTGGGTCAGTTCAGTCCCATGGAGGAAGTGGCTGAGTTTACAACAAATCCCAACCTTTTCTGCCTGCCTAACACCTCATTGCCCCTGCCTGCCACCCCCTTACTCCCTGCCAGAGACAGGCTTCGCCTGGGCACCCCCAACCAGGGTGGCCTCCCATCCCCGCATCTGGGATTTCAGCCCGGAGTCCTGATGTGACTGTGGGAACCAGGTTCTGTGTCCTGCTAGGACAGGGGTGGGCTCATCAGGAGGGGCTTGGGCCCCTGTGGCCTGCACAGGTGCCCTCATTCCTGGCATTTGGGTTGAATTGAGCTGAGCGTCATGGGGATCAGGTGGCCAGCACACTGCCTTTGTCCAGCCCGGGCTGTAGGGTTCACATAGTCGCATGGTACCTCTTCCATGGGGAGAAGTTGCCACGCCAGCTCTGAAGACACCCAAGAGGCAGCTGGACGGGTTGGGAGGGACCATGCCCTGTGACAGCCGGCATAGGCCAGAGGACACCACCTGGGTGCAGTGTGGAGGCACATGGGTAGACCCTGCAGCCTGAGGGGTGGRGTCAGGGCTGAGGCTGCTCATCCACAGCTACGTGTGACAACCCTGTCTCTTGCAGTCTCTGGTGGACATGGCCCCCAAGTACATCCTGGAGCAGTTCCTGCAGCAGGAATTGCTCATCAACATCACGGAGCACGAGGTGGGCCAGTGGGAGATGCAGGTGGGGTGCTGCTCATCAGCATGCTGGAGCAGGAGGTGGCCTGGTGGCGGGGAGTGGGGAGGATGGCAGGGTAGGCTTCCTACAGTGAGGCCTGGCCAGGGCAGCTTCTGCATCCAGGCGCCTGCTAAGGGTGTGGGTCCCAGGCCTGCCTGGGCCTGCAGGATAAGGGCTGGGAGCAGGCATCTCTTTCTGGGGGCCCCCGGGCCCTGTGCTGACAGCAGAGTAGAGAGAACCTAATGCAGCCGGGCACGGTGGCATAAGCTTGTAATCCCAGCGGCTGGGCGGGCTGAGGCAGGAGGATCACGAGTTCAAAGCCAGCCTCAGCAAAAAGCATGACATGAAGCAACTCAGTGAGACCCCGTTTCTAAATAAAATACAAAAAAAGGCTGGGGATGTGGCTCAGTGGTGAAGTGCCCCTGAGTTCAGTCTCCGGTACCAGGGGAAAAGAAGAAGAGAACCTAATGCAGTGACCATCTCCCAGGTTGCCCACAGCTTCAGTGTGGGTTCTTCACCCCTCCCCGTGTGCTCAGGGTGGTGGTGGGCTTTGTCTGGGTCCTGAAGTCTGGCAGCCCTGGTGGTGACTGATGGGCTCCTCTCTCCACAGCTGGTCCCAGAGCATGTGGTCATGACCAAGGAGGAGGTGACTGAGCTGCTGGCCCGGTAGTATCCTTGCAGGCACACCCCTGGCTCCTAGAGTCCCACCCCAACCCCAGATGGCCCTGCTGGGCTTTTCCTTGACCTGCTTCCCAGCAAACTCCGGGAGAACCAACTGCCCAGGATCCAGGCAGGGGACCCTGTGGCCCGCTACTTTGGGATAAAGCGAGGGCAGGTGAGAGACCTCTCAGGGGCAGGACGACCTTTGATGCTGCTCTGAACCTGCCTGCCKGGGACTTGGCTTTGTCCCTCCCACAGTCCTATCCCCTGCAGCCTGGAAGGGCCTTAGAACCACATTCCACACACCTTTTTAAAGCCACAGCAACTGGGGTCCAGAGAAGAGTAGCTCCTGGGCTTTTCAACAGGCATTGCCTGCCACCCTGTGCCGCTGCCATGGTGAGGCCCATTGTCCCCCAGCACCTGTCCCTGTGCTTCTGCAGGTGGTGAAGATCATCCGGCCCAGTGAGACTGCGGGCAGGTACATCACTTACCGGCTGGTGCAGTAGCCACGCAGCAGGTGAGATGGGTGGGAGGGGCCAGAGGCAGGGGATTCTCCCTGTGCTGGCCTCCAGGAAGGCTGTCACTCTGTCCTGGGACAAACCCTGCCTACTGCCCCCAGCTCAGACCCTACCTGGGCCTGTTYACTCCTGTTGCCCCAGACGCCCAGGAATTCAGGGGTGAACTACCCCCATATCACTTCTCCCCTGAGCTGTCCACTGTCAGGACGGTTCATCTTCAGGGCAGGCGAGAGGCAGAGCTTTGCAGGAGGGTGAGACGGGAGAGCCCTCCCGAGCTCCCTGGGCTACCTGTGTGCATGCTCATGGAGCAGGCCTGCCAGAGGCCCTGTGCTGCCCAGCAGGCACCCTGTGCTGCCCTGCATGCTCTCTTTGTTCCAGGTGCCTGACTCATTGAGGCCCTGCTCCTCGGTGCCCAGACCCCAGAGATGGCATGGGTGTATGTGACCACCGTCAGGGACACCCACCTACCTGCAGGGACCTGCCCTCCTGCGTTCTGGAGGGCAGCAGTCTCTGCTTTACTTTATCTTCCTGGGGCGAGGACTCCTCTCATGGCCCGGCCGGCTCTGGCTGTGCCCCTGTGTGCTCTGGGCCCCATCTCCACCTGACACCTCCTGACTTCACCGAGGGCAAGGCTACGCCAGCTCCTTGGCAGGTTTCCTCTGTCAGAATGCTGTACGGCCTAAAAATAAAGGATATTTTAAGTAAATTTGACTGTTTGAAAAGCCAAGATGAATTGCCAGGCTTATGCAGGTGGCCTGCTCTGGGTGGAGCCTGGGGGCAGATGCTGCCTGTCCTGACCCCTGGGCTTGCTGTGCGCCTCTGCTTGAGCACCGGGTGAGCCTGTCTGCAGTGCCTGCACCCTGCTCGGCTGCTCCTCACACCTGGAAACAGGAGGTCAGGCTCTGCCTTTCCCGCTGACCTCGGGTGGCCTCTGACCACACAGGTGGAAAGCAGGCRTTGGTGAATCTTCCCGCTGTGTCTGCGTTTGCGTTGGGTTCCTCAGTGCTGGGGATGAGACCCTCAGCCTGAGCTGCTGAGCATACGTGGTGCCACTGAGGGCCTGGCTGCAGATGGTGGACTCACTACTTCTTGATGTGCCACCGTCCCGTGTCTAGTTCTGAAACACTGTCACTCCAAAGAGAAACCCGTCCCCTCCTAGCCCTGCACCCACAGGTCTACATCCTGCCTCTGGACTCTCCTGCATTGGGGGTCTCTTGTCACTGGGTCACGCTCTGTGGCCTCGCGTGTCTGGTTCTCATAGGGCATAAGGTCCTCAGGTCCATCCACGCTGCAGCTGTCACCTCGCTCCTGCTTGTGGCTGAGGACACTCCAGGTGTGCCTGGACCAGGCTGGGTGTCCCTTCACCTGGGACATTGACCTTGGGCTGTGCTGGCACTTGACTGTGGTGCAGAGCTGCTGAGGCCATCTGTGGGCAGATGTGTGGTGACAGGCTCTCGTTGCTCTGGGCATACACCAGGAGTGGCCGAGCTGGTAGGTGGCGCTCTGACCTGCTTGGCGGCTGCATGTCTCACCCCAGCCTGCACTGGGCCCTGGCTTCTCACCCTCACTGCTCACCGGCACCTCTTAATGCATACCTTTTTTTTTTTAATATATATTTTATTTTTAATTTTTTTTTAATGTTTTTTGGTTGTAACTGGACACAACACCTTTATTTTACTTATTTATCTTTATGTGGTGCTGAGGATGGAACCCAGGGCCTTGCAGGTGCTGAGCAGGTGTTCTACCTCTGAGTCCAACCCCAGGCCCTTCTTTGAGTGAAGCTCTCGTGGTAGATGTGAAGTGACTTGTTTGTAGATTTTGGTTCCTTATCAGATACGAGATTTGCAAAAACTCCTTTTCATGGCCCTGAAGTACCCACATGGTCACTTGTTTACAAGTGGGCCTTCCTGTACATTTAGATGGGGCCTAACTGCCCTGGACCGAAGAGGGTCTGGACCCGTCAGAGGCAGGGCCTCTCCTGGCCACCCTGAAGTGCTATTATGTGAAAACCCAGACACACCAGGGTCTGTTTGGAGGTTCCCTCTTTTCCAGGSATCGATTATGCCTTTAGCCTTATAGTATGTCCAACAGGTAGAGCAAGTGCCCCTTCTCTCCAAAAATAGACACGCTGCTTTTTAAAATCACCTTGCCTAATATGAGCCCGTCACTGCAGGAGGTCCCTGGAGCCCCCAGATCCAGAGGCAGGAAGCAGCAGGGGGGTACAGGAGTTGGGAGGCAGTGTGAGTCTGAGAAGGTAGAACGTTCCAGGGATGGATGGTGGGACAAGAGCTCAGATGCAGTCAGCCGCTGGGTGTGCCTCTTGATGCCAGCAAGACAAGGTGGGCTGAGGTGACTCAGTGGTGGACGCTTGTCTAGGCTGCACGAGACCCTGGGTCCATCCCCACTCAAGGGCCACAGGAAATGCTTCTGGCCTTGTGGGCCAGTGGGTTCCTGTCACCCTCCCTCGTCTTGACTTGTGGCAGTAGTGGTGGCCGTGGTAACCTAGACCCCGGCCTGCTGCCTGTCAAGAAGTCCCTGTGCCCTGCAGGCAGCTCAGTGCAGCTTCACGTAGGGTCTGGGGCTGCAGGTCCTGATGGCGGCTGCTGCATGGGGAGGGAGGGCTTCTCCCCACCATCAGCTGTGGAGCCCTGCCTGGAGTCAAAGCTCACCTCTTTCTGCCAGGAAATTTGCCCTGGGTGAGCCTCAGGGCYTCACCCAGCAGTGACCCCCGCACCATCCCTCAGGTGAGGGTCAGGACCAAGAAGCGGGTGGGCAGTGGCCACTCCTCCAYTGGCCGTGACAGAGAGCAGGCTGAGTATGCGTGAGCTCCAGGTTCAGTCTCCAGAAGGTCACGAGCCAAATTTTGCCACAGCCTGGCCCCTGGCAGCCACATGRGGTGGCAAGGGACCTTGCAGCGGAGAACATGCTCTCCATGCGGACYGCTCTGCAGGCCATCCCGGAGCTGTAGGCTGCCTCCAGGACTCCCAGGCTTGCCAAACCACCAGGGCTGGCAGAGGGGACCTCCTCCCCATGGCCCTCCTCAGCCAGGAAGCCAAGGACACACCACGGGCTGTGGCCCAGCTTCCCCCTTCCCCAGGGCCACAGCACATAGACCAGGTATAAGTTTATTTTAAGCAAAACAGACACATTTCCAAGAAGTACATGGTGACCTGCGAGAGACTGCACTGTGTACCTAGACCCAGGTGACCTGGGCTCTAGGTGTCCAGAGCTTTCTGGAAAAGTGAGCAAATCCCAAAGTCAGAGCCTGCCCCTGCTGACCCCCAGCCTGGGCTTCAGTGTCAAGGCTGGCCTGCACCCCAGTTCCACAGCACCCAGAACAGCCTTCAGCCCTGCAGGGKTGAGGAGACATCAGTGCAGGGCCTAAGATTGAGAGCCCAGGGGCAGCGAGGGGACTTGGACAGGACTGCTCCACCCACACAGCCCTGTGGGCCGACCAAAGATAGGGAGCTTCCCCAAGAGCCAGGTCTCCAACTCAGCTGAGCCCAGGTGAGAAGCTTCAGGAGGAGGCGCCGCCCTGTCGGCCAGCAGGACTGTGCCAGCACAGGTGCTCTCACCCAGGACAGGCCTGCGAGGCTAGCCCAGCCTTGAGATGCAGATGGCCCCAAGAGGCAGARACACAGACCAGGTATAAGAGAAGCTGGCAGTTGTCCCCACCCACCACCCCAGCTCAGAGGAAATCTGGCTGCCGCCCCCAGCAGGTGCCCGCCGCCATCTGCCCGCCACGGAGTCTCATGGTGGGCCGCTGGGCCTGCGCCATGTTGTTGGACTGGTTGGTGTTGTAGGTTGAGAGCTGCAGCACTTGGTCCTCCTCGTCCTCCTCCTCCCCCAGCTGCCCCTCACTGCCACTGCGGCTCCGGCCACCCTCCAGGCTGGCTTCACCCTCCTTCTCCAGAAAGCTGAGGTGGTGCAGGGCGCTGGCGTCTGAGGACGACAAGGGATCCGAGCCCTCTTCCAGCTCTGAGTCAGAATCGTTAGATGCAACTCGGGATTCTGGGAAGGCCGGACACAGAGGGAGAGAGAATGGAGTGGAGAACCTGGCTCAGTGGACACGGAGTGGACACTGGGACATCTCCACCTGAGTCAAATCCCAGGGTCCCCACCCCAGCCTGCTCCTTCTCTCAGATACTACACTCCCCCCAGGGAAGCATTTGGCCTGGYGCCTCAAAGACTCAAGGCCTGTGGGCAGGGATCGTCATGGCCATTCCTCAGTGCAGATGGCCACCTTGGAAAGAAGGCATTGTTGGCTTGGTTACAACACTTGAAAGGACAGTGCTGAATACTGGGTACACGTGGTGTCCATGGCAGACGACCCCACAGAAGTGCAGTCCTGGGCACCGCGACTCCAACCTGTGCTRTGCACGCAGGCTCCACTGTGGACACACGTGCCCACTGGCACCAGGGCCTGGCCTCCCTGCAGCCCCACTCACCTCGGCCCCTGTCCTCTGCCTCCTCCTGCAGGGCATAGGCAGACTCCTCTCCAGCCTCCGCGTAGGGCATGGAAACCACCACCTCTGCCCGCTGACTGGGTGGCCCATCCTGCCAGGGGGAAGGGAGTMAGGGAGGCCGCAGCTCCAGCTGCCCCAGACCCTGAGAGTAAGAACTGCTGCTACTGAGGCTGTGTGATGTCCCAGTGTCCGCTCCGTGTCCACTCCCACAGCTTGTGCAAATAGGCCTGTTCCTCCTGAAACAGCCCCTGCACTCCTGCTCCCAGCCCACCCGCTCTGCCAGACGGGCCAGGCCCAGCACACACGCCAGCGTCAGAGCCATGGAGTCCTGGCCCCAGTCCTAAGGGCCCCTGGCTCTCGGGGGCTCACTGAGGCTGGTGGGGGTAAGAGAAAACTCAGGAACACCACGAGATGCCAGGAGACGGGTGAAGAAACACAAGGAGGACTYGAAGAGAAGAGAGGAGCAGATGCTGTGAGGAAAGGGAACGAACTTAAAGAACCCCAGCCAGGCCTCTGGCTGAAGTGGCCCCAGCTGCCCACGGGCAGGAAGTGGACCAGGTGGAGGGTGGAGGCCAGCAGTGCCTTTGTTTCCCCAGCACTCTGCCCCAGGGCTCAGACACACCTTGTATAGTCTCTGTTCCCAAGACAACTGGCTGCTCTGTCCCAAACAAGGGCTTCCCAGTGTTGTCCCCACCTGCTGGCACCCACACCCTCCTGTGCAAGGCTGTGGCTCCGACCCCTGCCTCACCTGGCACCCTGGTGCCTCCTCAGGCTCCTCCTCGAAGATCAGGCTGTAGTGGACGATGAGGGTCTCAATGACACGGGCCTGGTGGGGATAGTCCACCAGAGAGGAGAGGGAGATGGTGGCCTCTGTGGGTCGCGGCCGCAGCAGTGTTGGCCCAAATACAATGCCCAGGTTCCCCGGGGTCATCTTGTTATCCTGTTCCACCTCCACTATCCTGGGGCACGGAGAGCACAGGGTGTGTGAGTGGCTCCTGGAGCCGGCCTGAAACCCTGGGCCCCAGCCCTACGACTTACCTGCGCAGGTGTCTCAGCAGATACTGCAATGTGGCCAGGTTCTCCGGGGGCAGGTCCCGCAGCAGCTCCCGTAGGCGGCCCACCATCACAGCAGCTGCCGCCTCGCTCTCAGACCCATCCTGCCGGCCCCTGGACGCGGTCTTGGCCTCAGCCTCTGCCTTCAGGCTGTCCTTGGCCAGCCCCACGAGCTCGTGGTATAGGCGGAAAGATATGAGAGGCTCGGGCAGCTGCAGGAGGGTGTCAGGACCAGAGTCGGAGGGCTGGTCTAGCCTGCCGCCATAGCCACGCCCAACCACACCAGGGCCCCACCCACTGCAGCAACMGACTCCGCCCCCGTCCTCCAGAGAGCACCTGTGCCCACGCCCCTCCGCGCTCTGGCCACGCCCAGCACAGTAGGACCCCACCCGCCGTAGCACCCGCTCTGGCCACGCCCCTTCCAGTGCACACCTCCAGCGCGCCTCACCTGGCGCAGGTAGAGCTTGAGGACGTTGCTGATGTCGTGCGGTAAGGCCTGCGACAGCTCCACCAGTTCCTTGCCGGTCTCGAAGGCCTGGCACAGCTTCTCCACGCGCGTCTTCACACCGTTGACCCGGTAGATGCCCTGCGGTGCCGCAGTCAGCCTCTGCCCGCCCTCCCAGGACCCGGGAATCCCACCAGTTCCCAGAGACACACCTTGACGCGCAGCGCGCGCCGTTCGATCTCGCAGACGCACTTCTTGACGATGAAAGGCACGCCATCCAGGGTTCCGCGGGCTGCCTGGCTGAAGTCCTGGCCGAAGAGCTGCAGGCGGCCCTGCAGCTTCTTGTGGCCGCACTGAATAGCCAGGGTCTCCAGGCACTTCTTGTGGCAGGCTAGGCAGCACTGGGGGTCAGCAGGCAGTGAGCCTCGGCCCCGGGCAGGCGGGACTCCACCTGCACCTTCCTCCCTGGAGCCCTTGCAATTTCCATGACATCCTCTGAAGGCACAAGCCAGACTGCTCCTGGCAGGCAGACACCCCTCTCGGGTGGAACTGCTGCTGCTTGGGGTTGGGGCTGGGATTTCTTTCTTCTTCTTCTTCTTCTTTTTTTTTTTTTTTTMAKTACTAGTATTAGGGATTGAACTTAGGGGTTCTCTACCACCGAGCCACATCCCAGCCCTACTTTGTATTTTATTTAGAGACAGGATCACTGAGTTGCTTAGCACCTCACCATTGCTGAGGCTGGCTTTGAACTTGCTATCCTCCTGCCTCAGCCTCCCCAGCTGCTGGGATKACAGGTGTGTGCCACTGTACCCAGCTGAAAACTGGTGTTTCTATACCCCTGTCCTGCCGCCTTTCAACCCCTTGATTTTCCTGCCACAGCCCAGGGCTTCAACATTGGCTCTCACCCCCCGAGACACTCTGTCCACTTCTGGCCTGTCCAGCCCCTCTGCACTCCCCCGCAGCACTGCTGCCCCAATGGGCGAGGCGTGTACCTCCTCACACTCCGCTCCTTGGAAGTACACGTAGCTGTTACATTCCCTGCACTTGGCGGGCGTCCGGAGCTTCCGAAGCCGGTGGGTGCGGGCTGCCTTGGACAGCCCCACATTGCGAAAAGGGCCGCTGGGTACAGCCACAGGCAGCTCAGGAGCCATGCCATTGAGGTCAGCTAGGCGTGAGAYGGGCAGCCAGTGTCACAAGGCAGGAGGGGCAAAGCCCTGGACGGGTTCCAGAGCTCTCTCCCTCCCCTCTCAGGCCACAGTTCCTCACCCTGCTCAAAGGCAGACACCTCTGGGCCACCTTCCTGCTCCACCAGCTCCTCACTGGGTGACATGGCACCGCTGGATGACAGGCGCTGAAACTTCTTAAAGTCCTCTATGTAGGACAGAGGACTATCAGACTTCCCAAGCCAGGGTGACTAGCAGCTCCCTGCCCCAGCCCGCTGGGCAGGCCTCAGGCCTCACCTGAGCCTGGCCTGGGGTCGGAGTCTGAGACGGAGATGGGCCAGGACTTGTGCACCTGGTGTCCCCGCACCCCTGGGGAAGAAGGAGGGTGTGTCCAGCACAGGCCTCAGGCGGCCTGGGGAACCAGTGTCCCCTGCTCTCACCAGGCACTCACCCCTGGGCTCCTTGGCAGGCGCCCCTTCGTTGGGCCCACCTTCCTCAGGGGAGCTGCCAGTGGCCTCTGTCCCCACTGTGTCCCCAACGTTGAAGCTGCCCTTCCGGGCACGCATGATGGGAGACCTGGTGGAAGGGTGAGGAGGAAGGGTCGGCAGGGACCTCACGGCAGTCCTGCCCCTCCAGGTGGGAAGCCTGCCCCCCCMCAACCGGTGCCTGTGCCCGGGAGCCGGCTGGGCGGGTGGGGTACCAGGAGCTGGAGGAGACGTGGGGCTCGAAGTCGTAGCGCACGTCGGGCTCCTCGCCACGCTGCAGCTGGCGCACGTGGGAGGCGTACTGCTGGCCCGGGTCGTAGAGCTTGCTGCTCTCGCACAGCATCTGGAAGTGCACCGGCAGGGGCGCCGTCTGCATGTGCATCAGCTGGTAGTAGGAGATGGTGGCCTGCGGGCAGCACCCACAGGTGAGCGGCCGCCCTGCAGGCACCACGGCCAGAGCCCCGCCCCCGCACGCACCGACTTGATGGTCTGGTCGCTCTGCCGGATGACCTCCTGGATCTGCCGCAGTGCTGTCACCTTGGTGTCCTCCAGTTCCTGCTTCTGTGTCTTAGCATCCGCGACACAGGTGCGATAGGTGGCCATGGCTTCCTCCGCCTGAGGGTGGGGGGCAGCGGCTCAGCCCTCAGCAGGACCCAGCCAAGCCGTGCAGAAACCGGGGGAGGAGCCAGGCAGGAGAGGGTGCGTGCTCCGCACCCAGAGGCCTGGAGATGGGACTTCACACAAGTGCGGGAGATGCTGCCCGGGGTCTCCTCCTACCAGACCCTCTGCTGACCCTCCTGCTGCCTTCACCTTGTTCTTGGCTTCCTCCTCCAGCCGCCGCCTCTTGTCCAGGGTCTTGGAGGCTGCACTGCCCGCCCCAGGTCCTGAGCTGGCCTGCTCCTCCTCTGCCTTGGCCACCAGGAAGCGGGCCTTGTCATGGTCCTCCGAGCGCTGCATGTAGCCCTGCTTGGCCTTGCGCAGGTTGGCCTCTGCCTCCTGCTGGGTGGTGAGAGGGCGAGGTGGGGCCGGATCCAGCTTCTCCTCCAGCCCTGGCTGCTCCCACCCTCTTCTCCAGCCCCAGCTCTGGCACCCAGCAGGACCAAGCCAAGCCACGCAGGAACCCACAGTCCCGTCCGGCACACAGTGGTCCCTGCCCAACAGCAGCAGAATCGGAGGTGACACCCGCAACCAGACCCCTCAAGGAGTGGGTTAGCCTCTGACAGAAACACAGGTGCTACTGGAGTCGGAGGCTGGCAGGAGGCCAGACACCCCTGAGCACCAGGAACCTGCTCAGAAGCCACCGGCCCGGGAGGCCCCTCAGCCCAAACCATCAAAGGCCAAATGTGCAGAAAAGAACCAGGGGTTCAGCCACCACTCGCTGGGGGAACTCTTGCTCAGTCCTCAGCCAAAAAAAAAAAGAAGAAGAAGAAAAGGAAAAAGTACTGCAAGTATTAAGAGAACATTTCAAAATAATCCCATGGGTGGGAATCCCTTTTGATGGACAACATAAAACTCCATGTAAAAAAGCCAGAGCGGTGGATGGACCTGTCAACTTACTGAGACCCTGTCTCAAAATAAAATGAAGCTGGGCTTCAGTGGTGCACACCTGTAATCCCAGCGGCTGGGGAGGCTGAGGCAGGAGGATTGCAAGTTCGAAGCCAGCCTCAGCAACTTAGTGAGGCACTAAGCAACTCAGAGAGACCCTGTCTCTAAATAAGATATAAAATAGGGCTGGGGATGTGGCTCAGTGGCACAGCACTCCTGGTTCAATCCGACAAAACACACAGACTACTGCAATCAACTACCACCAGGGCTTCTTCCCGMAAAACAAGCAGATCAAACACAGAAACACGAGGGCCTGGGGGCACGGCTCGGTGGACAGCGCCAGCCTAGCTCGCGTGAGGTCTTGGGTTCCATCCCTAGTACCGAAACAGCAACCAATAAAAGGATTGAAAGAAGAAACAAAGTCAAGCGGAATGTGTCAGCCACACTCACAGCCCCAGCGACTCGGGAAGCTGAGGCAGGAGACACAAGTTAAAGGCCAGCCTCAGCAACTCAGTGAGATCCTGTCTGAAAAAACAGAAATTAAAAAGGGCTGAGGAGAAGTACCAGGAAAAGGACACAGGAAGGTCAGCTCGTATGAGAGAAGAATCTGCTCTATTCAGGAAATAAAAATGTCCAGGACCACGGGCATCAGGCTAGGAGGAGAAGACCAGGCTTCGTTTTGAAGCTTCAGGGAACTGACTCATCTTCCTAACTGGTGGCTTGGAATTTACATGACTGAATCAGTCTAAATCTCAGGAATTCCTTCAGTCCTCAGTTAATCTTAAATGGAACGAATTGAATACCTACTTTAAAATGAATAAATACATAGGGCCGGGGACTTCGTTCACTGGTGCCCCTGGGTTCAATCCCAGCACTCAGAGAGGCGGGGAAAGGTCAGATGATCAAGTAGGTAGGAGGAGTCTATAATTCACAGGGTTGGGATCGGAGTTCCCCAATAGGTGAAGAGCTCTATCAAACCAATACAAGATAATAATAATAGAAGAAGAAGAAGGCACTGTCTGAGGCCCACCAAGGAAAGGGATATAACCTGAGGTTTCACAAGCTGAGAAGCATGGCCATGGTGCAGCAGCAAAGCCATCCTGTACCTGTCTCCACCATGACATTTGTTTTGGATCTGAGATAAACCCTCACAAACTCTGGAGGTGGGAGCACAGTTGTCTCAGCCGTGATGCTTGTTAAAGCAACTGCCCATCCACATACTGAGCCACAGAAGCCTCAGCTGAGTGCTGAGCAGCTGCCATGGAACGAGGCTGCATGGTCTGGACCCTAAGGGGTGAACTTCTCCGTGCAGGGGTCAGTGGAGAGACAAGCGCCAAAGTGGTCACCCAGGAGCTGCGGAGCTGCTGGAGTTGGCTGGTATACGCTGGAAGCCTCCAGGAAGGGGCTTCTCACCCCCTGCCCTTCGCGCTGCTAACTCAGCTAAAAAGACGAACCATAGTCCACGGTGCTGCTGAGGCCACCCGAAAGGGAACTGGGGAGCCAACACCAGAAGAGAGTGACTGGGCTTCCGTGTCCTCTTCCCATGGGGACTAGCTCTCTGCAGCCTGAGGAAACCCGGCTTCTCCCCATTTCTGAACCACCCGCAGTGGGAACCGGGGAGCAGAGGTCCTCAGTCCTGGGCACGCAACCCGGGCCAGACGGTGCTGTGGCTGCGTTCGACGCCTGCGCAAAAAGGCGCAGGAGCGCAGGCGCAGCGCCAGCACCGGCCTCCGAGTGGCAGGAACGCGAAGTCTCACGCCTGCTACCCCTACCAGCTTCCTCTGTGCCCGGTGCCAGGATTCCTTGATCTCCTTCCGGCGCCGCTCATGCTCCAGCCGCCGCAGGGTCAGGGGCTGGGGAGAGATGGTCCCTCAGTGGGGGCCCTGGCCACACYCCCACCAGCCCAGCCTGGAGGCCCAGCCCACCTGCATGAAGGTCTGGGTCTGTAGCGTGCCCACCGCCTGCACCATGCCGTGGCCAAACTCCAGGTCCTGCTCCAGGGCCAGCGAGTAGATGGACAGGAGGGGCATGTGGGGCTGTGGGGGTGGGGCCAGTCACTGAGGTGGGGAGGGATGGCCCGGGCAGCAGGCCAGCTCTGGAACCCTGTCACCTCTCGGAGCCCCTGCAGCCCAGTCCCAGCCCGCGGGGCCCACCTCGTGCATGACACTCTGTCTGCAGTTGTGGACGATCTTCTGGAGGCCTTTGGCGAACTCCATCTCTGCAGGGTGTGAGGTGAGTGCCAAGTGTCAGGCGCCAGGTGCCCCGACTCCCGGGACCCTCTGGCCAGACCCCACAGGGCCCACCCTCACCCAGAGCCGTCCGCTTCTCCAGGTAGCCAATGAGGTCCTTCATGTACTTGGCCATGTTCTTGGCATACTGCAGTGCGGCGTCCACACCTCCCTCACAGCGCTGCAGGAGCACGTCCACTTCCTCCGGGGGTGGGCAGCCTGTGGGGCACCTGCTCAGCCTGGAAGGCCACCACCCAGCCATCTGGCCACCCGGCCCTCCCCGTCCAGCTCAGTGCCAGCCTCTGGTGCCCAGCCCACTCACGCACCTGCCCCTGAGGCTCTGGGACACTTACCTTCCTCACAGTCCTCAGTGCCGGTCAGGGGGCCCTCACTGCCCTGTCCGTACAGGTTCTCCATGGACTGCACAGAGGGACACGCGAGTGAGACCAGCCCTGGGGGTCCTGCCCTGCAGGAGGTGGCCACCACCTGCCTGAGGGGCACCCACAGGTGGATGCAGACCCGCCCACCCCCGCTGCTCACCTGGCTAGGGTCCCCAGGGGGCACGGCCAGGAGCGTGCTGCTGTCCACTTCGCCCATGAGGAACTCGGACACACTGCAGGGCCAGAGGGTCAGCACCAGAGGCACATGGCACCATGTCCCTCAGCCCGCCCCAGGGGCTCCCGGGCGAGCTCACGTGCTGCTGAAGGACACAGCCATGGTCTCCAGGGCCTTCTCGAACTCCCTCTTGTCCGACTCATTGTGGGACTCATAGTGGAAGGCTGGGAAGCAGAGGACACGCTGAAAGGCCATCACCCCTTGGCTCACTGACAGCCCTCACCCAGCCTCAGGGAGCCGCTGTGCCTGCCCAACGCCTGTGCGTCCTTCAAACCCACTCCAGAGAGCGCCCTCCAGGAGGTCCTGCCTGGCAGACAGGCCTGGCCGCCCCCTGCCGTCTGCTGACCTTTGACCTTGGCAATGAGGGTGCCGGCAGCAGTGAGGGTCTCCACGGTGTTCAGCAGCGGGTACTTGGAGATGACCTGGCGCATCACACGCAGGGCCTCACCCAGGCACTCGTGGGCCAGTGGCCGGCGGGCCTCGAGGAGATCTGCTGGTCAGAGTGGGTGTGAGCAGGACAGAAGGGGCCAGTCCCGGGGGTCTGCTGTGTCCTCACAGCTCCTGTCCCCAGGTGAGYGCACGGAGGCCGAGGTGGGAGAGGGCAGCCAGGAGACCAGGGGAGGGACGGACCCTCTCTGGGCTCCTGGTCAGGTCTGCACAGACCGGTCCTCGGCCTAGACAGTCCCTTCCACTCAGAACTCCTCCAGACCCTCCGGAAAACAAACTGCTGCTGTCCAAGGCCGAGTCCTGGCCTCCTCCTCCACGCAGCCCCCGGGTTCCGGCCTGCCCTTCTGCCTGCCTGAGCCCCGGGCCAGCCACCCCTCACCTCCCACGGYGCAATCCTGGCAGCTACTGCAGTGGGCACCTCCACTCTGCACATGAGGAAGCCGAGGCCCGGGGTCACTTCCACCTCACCGGCTCTGAGGGCGGGGACGGCAGGGAAGCACCTGTCTGGCTTTACTTCCTGGGCCACCAGGAGCCAAGGGCTGGGGACTAGTGGTGGTGTGTGGGGACAGGACTTCAATGCCCCCTCAAACGCTCTGAATCAGAAGATTTTTAYAAAAATGGGGAGCTGGGGAATGTGGGCCACTGGTGGACCTCTTGTCTACCGGCGAACGAGGACTTGGGTTCCAGCCCAGCACCCTCTCCCAGCAAAAGAAACCAAACAGAAAGAGTGTGGGTGAGCTAGCGGAGAGAGTCGCAGGGATCCTGGAAGGTCAAGAAGGACGGGACAGTGAGATCCGGGAGAGGACAGCTGGAGGGGGCCCCCAAAGCCAAGTGAAGCCTGGACATCACTGCCCGTCCCTTCTCAGCACCAAGACCCCCAGACCCCCAGAGGGGATTTCAGGAATCTAGGGAAGGCCACGCCCCTGCCCTCCACCACTCTCCTTCGCCTGCCTGCCCCTAAGGGCCTGGGTCACCTAGATTCCCACAGCACCCCTCCACCCGAGACATGGGCTACAAGAGGGGYACCTGCCAAGTGCAGAGATGCAAGGTTGACGTGGCCAAGGCAAGTGTTCAGCAGCTGTGCGTCCCCGGCGGCCAGCCCGGAGCGCCACTGCGGGGCGGGGACACCTTGCACCCCGCACTGCCCCTCACCTCCGGGTCCCACCAGGCAGCGCCCGGGGCATCCTCCCACGCTGGGTGCGCCCACCGTCTGGCAGATGCACCTCGCGTGGTGGAACCCGAACAGCGAGCGTGAGCCTGGGAGCAGGTGCTTGACCGGTGGGGGTCTCTGTGGCTGGCCAGCGGCCAAACAGGCTTTGGCCAGTATGGCAACCCCCACCCCGCAGAGGAGAACCCCGCCCCTGTGTCCAGCTGCCCTTTGTTAGGGTCCTCGGCTCCCGGCTACACGTAGCGCTGGAGGGATCCAAGGCTGTGCGGCTCCAAGAAGGGCAGTCCAGGACGGGTGGGGAAACCAAGGCCCGAGAAGAAATCCACGGGCGAGGAGGTCTCCATGTGCATAAACTACTCTGGTGACCTTCCCACTAATCCCACGGCGCCTGTGTCCCTGCSCCATCTTACAGAACCAGCGCCTGCGCTGTAGACAGGGCCGTGGCTAGCCCAGAGTCTCTGGACCGCAGGGGCGGCTCCAGGACTCCAACCTGCCTCCTGCTGGCGCCAGGTTCTTCCCCGTGCAGGGCGTCCCTGGGACGYGGGGCTGTGAGTCTGCAAGATGTCCCCGGGCTGCGCCCAGCCCACGCCGGACCTCCAAGGAAGCGCCAGGATCGGAAGGAACCGAGATTAGGGTTTCCCCAGGAAACTGGCTCTGGCCTCCGCCCCCGGGACCAGATAACCCGCGGGCTCCCACCCCTCTCAGCAGGGCCTAGGCCACAGAGCCCCTGTTATCCCCCCGAAAGCCGCGGAGCTGAGGTCCAGCCTGCTGGAACCTGGGTTTCCTCATCTGTGGGAGGGGCTGCTTAGGGGAGCAGGTCAGGGTGCTCCGGCGGCGCGGCCCTGGCACTGCGGTTTAGTGTGGGGCTGAAGAGGGCTCAGGAGGTGCTGTGCCCGCCCCCGTCGAAGTGCCCGCCTGAGCTGCCAGGGACAAACAGGAAGCAGATGAAAATAACTCGGCAGGAAGCAGGACTGTCAGCAGCCGCGTGGAGAAAACGGAACTGCTGTCGTGCAGGCCTCACCCCCAGCACCTCCTGCTACCTTCATGGGCCCCACAGCCTCTCCACCCAGACCACAGCCCACCTTCAGCCCACAGCCTCCAGAGCAGATGAACCCGCCCCTCCTCTGCAGGAACACCCTCTGTGGCTCCCGTAGCCTCCAGGGTTATGTCCAGGGCCCTCAGACCCATGCCCCAGCCTCGTTCTCACGGTGGGCGCACCACGGCCCTCCACACCTTTGCATTTGTTCTCTGTTTCCATGTTTGGGCCTGGGCACAGGACCGTCCCTCCACTGAAATGCTTTTCCCTCCTCCTGATCACCCAACTCCTACACATCCCTCTGAATCCGGGTTGTCATGGCCTCCTCCCGGCAGCCTCTCTGCCAACCCATGTGGACCTTCCCCAAGTCCCTCCCTGCTTCCTTTTTTGACCATGCCTACGTCCACTCAGCCTTCCACCCTGGCCTCCCGGTCTCGGCTGACTCTCACCGTCATGCAACACACACTCCTTCAGTTTTTCAAGGCCCTCTGCGAAGCGGGCCACATCGGCCAGCAGGTTTGAGATGTCCTCCACCGCATCGGGGCCAGGCCCCTCGGTGGGCAGCTCRGCAGGGCTGGAGGCAGTCAGAGGGCTTCGGTAGCCCCGGCCTAGTGTCCAGGAGGCAGCACCGGGGAGCGGGAAGCCAGCAGCACTGGCGTGGCGGCTCAGGCTGGTGGGCCGCTTGAGTGTGCCTGTGGCCTTGGCCCCTGAGGACACGGCGGGGGGCTCCAGGCCGGGGCCAGGGAACACCACATCCACTCCATCTTTCTTGGGAAGCTCCTAGGCGGGCAGGAAAGAGGGTAGAGGGGATGCTTCAGCTTTGACAGTGCCTGGGTTTCCCCAGCAATGAAGTGTGACTCTGGAGAGTCTTCAGCCTTGTTCCATGGGAGTCAAAGGCCAGGGGTCAGGGGGCTGAGATTGGGACCTGTGCCCCCCCCCCCACGGCACCTGTTACCCAACATCCTCTTCCCTGGAGCTTTTCACAAACAACGGTCCCTGCCCAAACCACAGCCAGGGGTGGAGTGCGCAGAGGCGCTTGGGGGAGGGGAACCCCACTTCCTGGTGGGGGTAGGGAGCGCCAGAGGCGGCCCTCAGCCTGAGCGGACCCCCGGCTCCTGTGGATGTGTCCTCTTCAGAAAAGGCTCCTCCGACAGTTCCTGGAGCCCCAGGCTCTGGTGGACCTCTGAGTCCCAGGGACACCCCAGGCCTGATAGACAGATGCCCCCAAACTCCTAAACTTGGAGACGCCCTCAGCCCCTGGGGACACTCCCTCTCCCAGGCCACTGTGCCACACAGATCCATAAGATGACCTGCGATCGACACGCAACCCAACTGGGGCTGCAGCCCTCCCTCCTTCAACAGCTCCTGAGCCCCCCTCCTGCAGAGCTCCAGACCCACTCCCACTCTGGCACTGTCCCGACCAACTAGCCCCCTACCATGAGCCGAATACCCAGGTCCTGGCCTGTTCCTGGTGACCTCTGCCATCCAGCCTGGTGAGGACTGTAGCTGGCGTGGGTGCCCCATCGCCGGCCCAGCATGGTGTGGCCAGTGCTGTACCTCGAGCTGCGCGCGGAAGCACCCCTGTGCCTCCAGCGGGTGTTGCCCCAGTTCCCCGCCCGTCTGCCAGGACTCACCCCTGAGGGCTGYGGGCTGGGGCTTCCCGCCCGGTTCTTTTTGGAGATGGAAGGGGTTTTCATCAGCTCCCGCTTCTTCCTGGAGAACATGGTGGGGTCAGAGGGGTGACCCTGGGGGCTGGCAGGTCGGCACGCTGGGGGGTCTTGGAAATGCAGCTCCTAGCGCTGGCTGCCTGGAGACCACATTGCCACGGGCCACCCCCTCCCCAGCTGTCAGGCCCACGTGACAGGCCGGGCCCTCATTGGCGCACGGTCGCCGGCACAGGAAAGGCCTCCGAGGCAGCACCGCAGACCCGCCCCACAGTGCGAGCCTCAGCCTGCCAGACGGCAGAGTGGGCGCGATCAGAGGTCGCAGGCCACCCCGCCCCGGCTTCCTCTTTCAGGAGCCGCGAAGTCCACACCCTGGCGGGTGGCGAGGCGCTATCAGTGTACACAGCAGGGCACTCCGCGACGGCACAGGGATGCTGACCTTCAACTCAAACACACCCACCCAGCTGCCAGTAGGAGCGCACAGACGCCCCTGTGCGGGATAGCTGGGTACGGATTTTCACGAGCACCCAGATGAGGCAGAGGGCTGGAGCCTCAGGCCCAGAGGCCACAGAGGCACCCCCTCCACCTGCAGGTACACCCCTCCCCCACTTTTCTGGTCACTGGCCTCAGCTCAGCTCTCCACCCTGTCCCATTCCTGCTTCCCAGGTCCTGAGCCCACCGCTGGTCCATCAGAACACCCAGGGTGCCACTGGATCTGCAGGGTGGGGTGTGCACCCCAGAGAGCCGGCAACAGCTGGAACCAGTGTCCACAGGGGACACCCATCTTCTCCCCATCGGGCCCCCAGTCTGCGGTCTGTCTCCTCCCCAGTCAGCTCCCCTCTCTGAATTCTCCTGGTGATCTAAAAGCCCACCCCTTCACCCTCTGCACCCCTCACCCCTCCTCACTCTCACTGACCTCGGGTGGGAGCGGTGGCTCTTGGGCRCACAGGCCAGAAAGGCCACAACCCCTGGAGCCAGGTCTAGCTCTCCAGGCCCTGGGTCCAGCTGCAAGCCCAGTCAAGCAGCCCTTTGAGGACTTTCTGTCCACCACTCATTGTTCTGCTGGCTGGGGTCTCGAAGAGCTGGTCCACTAGTTATGTAGGCTTTGGGTAGCCAAGGYGGGTACTCCAGCCTCCTCGAAGCTGCCTAGGACATTCCCAAGCTCTGACCTCAGACCCACTTCATGGTCAGTTGTCCTTAGGTGCTAGACCCATGTGGCAGCCTGGTACCTGWGACCAGGCTTCTAGAAAGCCCATTCTGCACGCTTCATGCCCAGGATCACCAGCACTGAGTGGGTTCAAGCGTATAAATGTGCTCACACATGCCCCACAAATCTCCTGTGATCACAAACACACTCACTCCCCACTCACACTGCATGTGGCGGTGCTCATAGGGACCAGGGTGCATGTGTAGTCTGCCATAAAGACACAGAGGTTCACATCTTCTCTGCAGTCTTCTCTGTCTCTCTTTTTAAAATATGTTTTTAAGATGTATGGACCTTTATTTTACTCATTTATTTCTATGTGGTGCTGAGAATCGAACCCATGCCTCACACATGCCAGGCAAGCTCTACCACTGAGCCACCGCCTCAGCTCCAGTCTTCTCTTTATTTGCTCCAGGGTAGTGGGTGCTCTGGGGAGCTGATGTTGGCTCCTGGGGCTCTCCTGCCCCCGGGGGAGGCAGGCTCAGAGCACAGTCTCCATCACTAGGGTGTCCGTSGAGGCCTGGCCAAGGCCTTTGGGATGCTCAGAGCCTGCTGCAGGCTCCGCCTCCACTCCTTCCTGGTCTTCCTCCTCCTTCCCTTGGTCCTCAGAGAAATGCAGGAAGACCTGGCGGGTGGGTGGTCCAGAGAGGACAGGACGGACAGGAGGGGCTGTCAGCCCAGGACCCGGGCCCCAGCCCCTCCCCAGTCCCAGCCCGACACTGTGGTCACCTCCTCCAGTGTGGTCTGGCTCACAGAGAAGTCCTCCATGCCATGGTCTGAACCATGGGCTGCCAGCTCTCCAAAAATGTGTGCCAGGGCKCCGCGCTCTCCCGGTGGCAGCTGGAAGCGGAGGCGACCCCCATGCGCTTCTCGMAGCTCGGCCCCCGGGAATGCGGCCACCACAAAGGCCGTGGCTCCCTCGTGCCGGTCCACGGGCACCCTCAGGGTCAGTGTGTGGCCAGCGCCGAATCTGGAGTGGGTGGGGACAAGGCTACCAGACAGGCCCCTGCCCTGCCCAGCCCAGGGCACGACCCCGCCCACACCGGCTAGCCTCCAGCCTCGCCTCTTCTGCCCGGCTGCACCTGACACACATCCGCTCCCTGCGCCGCGCCCCGCCCGCACTCCTGCTCCTAGCCCCGCCCCTGCAGCCCCCCACCCTCCAGACCTGCTTCCGGGCACCCGCAGCGCCCCCACGCGCCACGGCCACGCCCACCCGCCGCCAGCGGCCCACCACCCGCCCCGCTCTAACTGGCCTCTGCTGGCTCCTTAGTCCTTCTAAACCCACCGCAACCTCGCGCTCATCAACCGGATCAAGTGTCCCCAGTACTGCAGCCCTCAGCAAGCCCCGCCTGGCCCCCTTCCTCGTCCCTCCTGCTGTCCATCATCCTGGCCACTCTGCGGCTTTAGCCGCTGGGCTCCAGGTCTGAACCCTCATCCCACCTTCCTGTCCGCACACCTGCCCAGAGGCCTCTCGCTCACCTGCGCTTGAGGTGCTGCGTGCTGCCCAGGCAGCGGAACCGCCCGTTCACCATGATGGCCAGGCGCGTGCAGAGGGCCTCGCACTCCTCCATGCTGTGGGCGGCAGGTTCGTGAGCTCCGACCCGCGCTGCGCGATACTGGCCAGGGCCCTCCCCACCACCCTTTTCTGGACATTTCGCTGGGCCCAAACTGCCTGGTTCCTGGGGCTGGGTACCACCACAGTGTGTCCTTACGCCTGGGCCCGCCAGCTTCCTTCCCTCCCCCTGTCCCTCCGCCAGGGTCAGGACCTTCCCATCCGCTATGACCCTGTGGTCTGGACCACCTTCTGAGGCACCTCCTCCACCTGGAGCCTGGGCCAGTCACCTGTGCGAGGTGAGCACCACGGAGCGGCCCTGGCGCACCACGGACAGAAGGCTGTTCCAGAGGAAGCGCCGCGCACGGGGGTCCATGCCCGTGGTGGGCTCATCCTGGGACGGAGGAAAGGCCCTAAGCCGGGTCCTGCCTGGGTCCCAGCCCTGCCCCACGCCAGATCCCACCCCACATACCAGGAAGACCACAGCGGGATCCCCAACGAGCGCCACGGCTGTGGCCAGCTTGCGTTTGTTGCCCCCACTGTAGGTGCCCGCGAGTCTGTCGGCGTATCGCGGGAGCCCCAGGCGCGCCAGGCCCCAGCTGGCGGTCTGCGGAGCCCAGCAAGAGCGACACGTTGGGGGACCAGGCGAGCTGGGTGGTACCAGTGGTGGTGGGGTGGGGCCACAGTGGGTGAGCATGGGGCCGGGTCAGAGGGAGGCTGGGATGGGGGACCAAGTGGACACGGGGCAGGGCAGAGTGATGGTGGAGCAGGGCCAGCGGTCAGGGGGGCGGGTACAGTGGACATGAGTCGGGCCCAGGAGAAAAGAGCAGGGATGGGTGAAACCTGGGAGTGGACCCAGACACAAGAAGGGGACCTGAGGCGAAAGGCGGGAAGACCTAGGCCAGGGTCCCAGCTGGAGGCGTCAAGGAGGGAGAACACCAGGCCAAGGCGGGAAGGGGCCTGGGCCAGGTGAGCACAGCAGCTGGGAGCCCCGAGACCGGATGCTGAAGGACCAAGCATGAGCACCTGAGGGCGGGGAGCAGGGGGGGGGACCGAGGAGGGGGGCGGAGCTCACCCCTGCCACCAGGGCCTCAGGGACGCCTCGCAGGCGTGCAAACAGCTCTAGGTGTTCGCGGCCAGTCAGCAGCTCGAAGATGGCGTCTGACTGCGGGCAGTAGCCCATGTGGCAGTGCGCGGCAGCTGGTTCCTGGGCCACGCTGCAGGTGGGAGTAGAGGGCGCAGAACTGGCTAGTTACTGGTCACACTGGAGGCACACACAGGGGTCTCAGGGCCACCTCCATGAGCACGGTGTGGGAGGACCAGGAGCAGAGCTGGTCGCGGGGGAGGTCCACACTGCCCCCACCTGGAGCCCCCCACCCGGAGCCCCCCACCCGGAGCCCCCACCTGGAGCCCCCCCACCCGGAGCCCCCCACCCGGAGCCCCCCACCCGGAGCCCCCACCTGGAGCCCTCACCTGGAGCCCCCCCCCTGGAGTCCCCCCACCT